AAATAAATAAATAAATAAAAAAAGCAGCAAGCCTATTCAGTGACCAACTGTTGTTAAAGTCCCGGTGAAACTCCAATCCCTCCCATTTGATTGGACCGCTTAAAAGTGGGCGGGCTCAGAGTGTTGCTCAATACGGAGCCAAAGACGGTAGATAGAAAAGGATGACGGTTGTTTATTTATTATTTACATGTGAGGTTTTGTTTTGTGTGGAGTCTGTGTTTGTTCTTAATGTAATATCTTCTGCTGCTTCTGACCTGATCCACAGCTGTGGTTTGAACCTTTTCTAAATCTGCCAGAACACTCTTGAAATAAAAGTCATAGTCACAAATCACACAGTCGGCCGTGGTCAGACACAGCAGCTGCGCTCATGAAGACATTTCTGACAATATTTTATGATTTTTTTCTTTTATGACTGGTGATTTTTTTGTTCTTTACCAGGGGTTTGCCATTTATTGCCCATCTGGACAGTTTGCCAAACTTCACCAGATCCAACGATGGACCAGTCAGGCTACCTATTGTAGACAAGTACAAGGTGAGCAGCTAGAGGCCGTTTGCTCTCTTTCTAAAGAGAGGAAAACCCAAATCCGTGTGCAGCTCTTCTTCTCCGCTGCACCGTGTGGGCGACACATTTCTTTTGGTTTCTTTGGCCAAAATCTGTTTATGTTCCCTCTCCAGTTTGTCATTCTCCTTCCTGTTGGGCGTGTATCCAAGAGCAAACCAGCATGCTTACACACACACACACACACACACACACTCACTGCAGCCTCTGCAAAGTAATTTCTCTTTAAGATAATTCAGTGTCTTGGCACTTGCCTCAGTTTAGATGTTGGAAGCGGTTCAACACATTCTGTCAGTGTTGGTGGAGTTATTTTGGAGCTCCCTCAGTTCTCCCTGCATTAATCATCTTTCTCTTTTCCATGTCTCATCTTTAAGTTGTATAAATACTCCTTGCTCTCTCTCTCTCTGTGATTTGCATAAGTGGTTATATTGTTAAGTAGTCCCAACTGGAGTTCTTCCTGGTGTAAGGGGGGATTATGGATCAGTAAATGGTGCCGCATACTAATGGTCCAGCCAAGATTACCATACAGCAAGCAGATCGAGCTGTGGATAAAACAATTATTACCCCTGATTATTTTGGGAGGGATACTGGAAATCCTGATTGTCAACCGCAGTCAAAAATCCTCTTCCAAATTTGTACTTTATTCTAAGCCTTGTGTCAGAAATCTGTGTTCCTCAAACTGTGTGGTTCTAGACTGAAACACACAAACGCATCATTTCACCCACAAAATGACCATTTGTACATCAATTACTCTCATTGAAGTGTAATTGAAGTTAATTGTGGCCCCCATTTACTTCAATTCATCTCGCATTCCTCCAAGATGAATTGAAGTGAATGGATGCCGCTTTTAACTTCAATTTATCAAGACCGTGCTCCACTTTTTCGTGGAGGCATGCAAGAAGGACTTTTTCTTAAAAAATTCAAGGTAACACGGGGGGAGCAATTGACACACAAATGGTCATTTTGTGTGAAAAGTATTCCTTTGATGGACAATAGTGCGAGAGAAAGCAAAAGTGAACAGTTGCTCTCATACTGGAGGTCAACAGTAAGCGTCGGCATTAAAATCCCATTAGCCTGCTCATATTTGCCTGCTGGATTCATGGTTTTCATTGGACAGTGACAAAATGCTGCATTTCCCACTATGATGTTTACCTCTACTACAGATGTTATGGTCCGCACTCATAAAACAGGATGCAAACACGACTAATATGCATCAAGTTACTGAAATGCTCCGATCCTTCCTTCTGAACTTGCCGTTTGTGTCCTTGCAGGACATGGGCACAGTTATTCTCGGCAAGCTGGAGTCTGGATGCATCAGTAAAGCCCAGCAGCTGGTCATGATGCCAAACCGGGTGAGATCTCCTCTGTGTGACTTTGCTGCTTCTCACAAGGGAACCGATAAAACCTTCCACTGGAAATAAGTCCAAGGCCTCATTCTTGATTTTAATTCACCGCAGCCTCGATGGAAAGAAGATCCTGTAATGATAATGATATAGTTTCAGTTCTAACACCAGCAACACATCCTGTTTATGTACAATAATATGTTTATTTAAAATATAATTATTAAAGAACTGTGTGTGTGTGTGTGTGTGTGTGTGTGTGTTGCAGCACACTGTGGAGGTATTGATCCTGCTGAGCGACGACGTGGAGACAGACGATGCGTGTCCTGGCGAGAATCTCAAGTTGAGGCTGAAGGGCATCGAGGAGGAAGAAATCCTTCCCGGCTTCATCCTGTGCAGCCCCGACAACCTCTGCCACTCCGGCCGCACCTTCGATGCACAGGTACAACAACAACATCAACAGAAGAACAAAGCCACTGCATGCGGGCAGCTGTGTCCTCATCTGACTTTTCAGAGTCATTACTTGTGGGGAGAGTTTCAATTAATCTCTTCAGGTCGAGGCTTAATTAGCTCTCATTTATTTAATTTGATGCCAACAGCCAGATTCTCCACCGCTCACTCCTGTCGATTCCAACCCATTTAATCAGTTAAAGACACATTTTAAACCTATTTGGCACTCGGTTGCTTGTTTTTGACTAATTTGAAGAGAGTATAGATAATGAACTGCTATATCCGGCTCTGTTTCAATGCTATATTTAAGTGTTATGAATATGTCAAATCAGCTGATCGTGATTTAATAATCTCTTTGGATGATGCACATTTTCTCCTTTTATTCCAGATCGTCATAATTGAGCACAAATCAATCATTTGTCCTGGTTACAATGCAGTCCTTCATATCCACACCTGCATTGAAGAAGTGCAAATCTCAGTAAGTTACTACACCACGTTCGAAGCTGTTGCTGAAATGATTTACGCTACTAGAGTGTGTCTTTTTGATTCCCCCCCCCTCCTCCCTGGCCGTATGGACTGTGGTTCTAAACTTTATAATCCTGACTGCAGGCCTTAATCTGTATGGTGGACAAGAAATCAGGGGAGAAAAGCAAAACACGACCGCGCTTTGTGAAGCAGGACCAGGTGTGTATCGCCAGGCTCCGGGCAGCTGGAGTCATCTGCTTAGAGACCTTCAAAGACTTCCCTCAGATGGGACGATTCACACTGCGAGATGAAGGTGAGGACTGTGTGTGTGTGTGTGTGTGTGTGTGTGTTTGTAAGACACTTCGAGCATGTTTATCTTAAACTAATAGATTTTGCACAACTTGCCTACGGACATGGATGTTACCGCAGAGATAACATATTGTTTATTTGATCGCTCCTGTGCACATCACGGCTTATTTCTCCAATGATTTGAATCCCCCGTCATGTCCCTCACTTCTCTCTTCGTATGCGTCTCCTCCAGGCAAAACTATCGCCATCGGCAAAGTGCTGAAGCTGGTGCCAGAAAAGGACTAAATGCAACGGCGGCAGCATGCATGGAGTTCTTCCACCCGTTACCAGAGGAGAAACCGCTGCTACAGCCGACCCAAACAGCCACTCTCTCTTTACACCCAAGTATGCTGAAGAGAAGAGCAATGACAACGAGGAGTGATGATGGAGATTAAAATTGCTCAAATGAAGAAAACAAGACTGAATCAGTTTTTATGATGAACAATATGAAAATAGAGACCAAATCCAGTGTGTCAGCTTTCTCATATTGAGAGCTCA